TCCCTCCCATCCTTCCTTCATAATCTCATTTCCTCACTTTCTCCCTGAAAGCTTACCGACAAAAGCAAGTGACGGTCTCCTCCACATCCAGTGGCAGCGACAGTTGCGCCGTTGGGCCCCCAGTACCTGGCCCACCGCTCGCCCCGCCTCCCGAGGAGGCGCCACCTGCCCCGCCATTGGCATTCTGGCGCGGCACTGCCCGTCCCGGAATGTGGCGCGAAGATGCGTGCAGGAAGGTGGCCGCGAACGTGGACGATAGCGAAGAGTGCGACGCCGAGGGCCGGGGCGTGGAGGCGGTGGGCGTTTGGGGGGCAGTGGAGGATCCATCGCCGGCATCGGCCAATGGAACCGAGGAGTAGCGGACCAGGATCGCACGGCTGACGCGATTGCCGCCCGTTAGATTGGAGAGAGCCCAGTTCATGGCCCTGGGGACTTGGAGCTCGGGACTTGGACCACGGAACTCGGAACTAAACGCTTCCGCCGCTCGACTGCAACTGACTGCCACATGCCACATGCCGCATGGGGTGTGGTGCAGCAACCTTCTTCGAAGGAAATTGATTTTGTTTAGTGATTTCAGCCACGCCCCTCGGCCTCCCAAGCCCCCCCTCGGATGGGGCTGTCAATCAATGGTTTCCAACTAAGGCTGGCCCTTTCCTATTTCCCCCTCTCTCTCTCTCTCGTTGGCTATTTATGCTTTTTCTTTACTGTTTTTCTTTCACACTTTTTTTTTTATTTATTTTGTTTTTATTTTTTGCAATTTTCCCTTTTTTTTTGTTGCACTTGCACCCGTTGCCGGCTAATTCAATTAGAGTTGTACTAAGTGCGCTTCAAGGCTGCCGGAATGCACACGCTGGCAGCGGAACAACGAGGGTTGCTTATAAGGTATTGGAAAATATAAAAAAAAAAAAATGAAAAATTAATTTTTAAAAATAAGACTCATTTACTCAAGAAATTTATAAATTGCTTTGAATAACATACAATTTTATCATAATTTTTTATATTATTTTTAAAGTTAATATAATAAATATCTCAAATTAAGGTTTATTTTTAATTATTTATCTGTGGAACAGCGAGGGTAGCTTATAAACTACTCAAAAATATATACAAAATCTTAAAAAATAATATTCATCATAATAAAAATAATAATAATTATTAAATTAAGCTTAAAAATAAATTTTGTTTATTCTTAATTTCCTTCTAAAAACATACAAATTTTTCAATTTTTCGAATTTTTAAAAACTTTATATAATAAATATTTCAAATATATCAGCGGATCCGAGAGGGTTGCTTATAAAGTATTGGAAAATTTCTACAAAACCTTAAAAATAAATTCTTAAGAATACAATTTTTTTTAAACAAGAAATTCTTAATTTTTTTTTGGAGAACATACTAATTTTGTCCTATTTTTACAAATTTTTATAAACTTTACATAATATATATTTCCAATCTAGATTTATTTTTAAACTTATTACCTTTTCATAAATCTAGATTCTATCTTTTTTATGACAATATTTAAATTTATTTTGGATTTTAAATAAAAAATAAATATTTCAAATGTTTCTGGCCTGTTTCGAACTTCAAACACCTCCTCCTAAGTGAGGCTCTTAATATCTCCAGCTCTCTTCCTTTTTCTTCACCTTACAAGATAAATTTTGAATAAAATATTTATTTTTATAGATTCCCATAAATCTAACTAAAATTCCCTGTAGAACACTTCCTCAGAGAGTAGCTCAGTACCCTCCTCCTCGTAGATGGGGCAGCCCTTCCAAGGGGGGAGGCACGAAAAAAATCGATAGCTTTCCTCTTGCCACATTTTTAATTGTTCTGCCTGGCAGGTCTGCCCTGCTGCCTGCTGCTGCCGTCTAATGAAACCCCTCCGCTCCAATGGAGGGTGATGACGTCCAGGCCCAGTCCATCCAAAAAAAAAGGAGAGGAGCGGGGAGGGGAAATAAAAGTAAACCCCACATGGAGATACTGGTACTCGTATGATGTTGTCCTCCGCTGGCAGAGAAGCCATCAACTGATGTGTACTTTTCCCCTTTTTTTTTTGGCGTATGGGGTGTGACATGTGACACAATTTGTTTGTTCTTTGTTGCTCTCACATCGTTTGTTGTTGTCGTTTGTGTTCCTTTGCCTATTTGGATGCTGCGACAGTGTCCCCCCCTCTACTATATCCAAGCACCTATATAAATATATATACATACATATATAGGGCTAGCTAGGCAGGAGAGAATAAAACACAACGTAATCAACAAATTGTCAGATGGGGCTCTGTTGGGGTCTTCATTTGTCCAGTCCAGTCCAGACCAGACCAGTCTTTCTAATCAACTCGACTTCCTTATTACTCTAATCACTAGTCTAATCACTGAATTGCCTTTAATTGCGTGTCTCTCTGGGATAAGTCCTTTAATTGGTTCGGTTTCCAAAACAGGTTTAGCGAAAAAGTTGTGGATTAACATCCCTTAGGTCGTAGATTAGCTGGAAGACTGGCAGATTAGGGGAAGAGTATTCAAGACATATGGCGGGGAGGTTTAATTAGGGTTAGAGGTTAGGGGTTAAAGGTATAGAGGTTCTTGGAAAAAGGTTTTTTTTTTGGATTTTTGGTTTAAACCTTTAAACCTTCTTTAGGATTAGGGTGTTTATAAGGATATATATATATATCTTAATAATTTATAATAAATATAATAATTTATGGTAGAAACATTGTAGTGTTTATTTTATTATATTTTATTTTATTTTATTAAATTTGAGTTCATTTTTTTCTTGTTTGATGTGTTTTTTTTCTGTGTTTATTTTGCTAAAGAGAGCGATAAAAAAATTTATTAAAAATATTAACCTAATAACAGGGACCTTAATCATTATGAGTTTTATTTAAAAAATCCCAAAATATATCCCAAAAATCATAAATAGTCATTATTATATGATTAATATTTATTAAATAATATTTAGTAAAACAATAATTAAGAAAATAATATTTATACAAGTTTGTAAAATCTGTTAAGAGGTTTCTTTATATAAAGCTAATCATAAACCTGATTTCAACCACTTTTTGAAAAGAATACTTCATCCCCAAGGCTTCTGTACCATTTTTATCTTAAAGATACATGTATCTTTAGATACTTTTCTTGAATTTCTTGAAAGAATTCTTAAAAAACCACCAAAAAGATAAATATCTAAAGCAACTGCCTGATATAAGGACTCTAAGGACCTTGAGGAAGTGATATTTTATGATCTACGAAAGTTCTACATCTCTTCAAGACTCTCTTTTAAGAGTTCATATAAAAGAACTCTTGTTATTAGAGTATTATTATTTATTTTTAGTATTAACAAGAGTACCTCTCTCTCAAGATATAAAAACAAATATAAAAACGCGAGCATTGATATTTATTTTTAAAGCCAAACCGCCTCAAGTGCGGTAATGAAATTGGCAAGTTCAATAAACCGGCTCTTATCTATCTAGCCCTCCAGTGCCTCCTCCTCCTCCTCAGTGGTATAAACAAAGGCCAGGAGGACAGGAGAATGGGAGGTTGGGAGGATGGGTGGATAGGCGGCGGTGGGGCGATGAAGATGAGCACAAAAATAAACGCAAGGCAATCAAAGTGCAGCGATGGCCTTGCGACTCCGATTCGTGGGAAGAGGCCGACCGACCGACCAGACCAGACGACACGCACACTTGTAAACAAAATACTTGAACAATAAATACATATATATAGAGTACTATATATATATATAGTGAGTGTGTAAGTAAATCAAAACACTGGCGACTTGGTAACCGCATTGGAGAAATCGATAAAATGGCCATTGATTTCAGGTGGCCAAAATAAAAGGGTATTCCAAGGTCTATTATCCTAAAGGTAAAAGAAGGTCTACCATCTTATATTAAAGTGTTTTTTTTTTTGGGGGGAGGGTAAGAGGATACCATCGATAGGGATTCCCCAAAAGAAGGGGTACCTTTGGGGTCTACTCCTGCGGGAGAGGTGGCCAAAAGAAAAGAAATTTCTTGTGTCGGCGAATACCCAAAAACGAGGCCAATTGGCAAAAGGCCAAATGGCGACGAAAAAGAGCAGACACAGAGGACACAAGAGACACAGAGACATCATAAAAGACGACAAGAAGAGACCCCCCCAATTTACACCCAATAAATGGCCCGTTTTTGTGGATTTTGGGATGTTGGATGGATCAGGACTTACCCCATCAGCCAGTCGACTGTGTCGCGAAGGTATTCCGGAATTCGCTCCAGTTTGAAGGCTGTTTATACTGCTGCTTGTGCTTGTTTGGACTGCAAATATCCGAAAAAAAATAAAAAGTTTTTCCCCAGCTGAGGGAACCAACGCACGCACACAGGCAAACGTTTTACGCACACACCGCCGACCGAGACGCACACGGATACGCAGAGACGCACACGTACGGACACCACCGCCACCAGGACACCAGGATCAGGATCGGAAGATCACCGGGCAAGCCAAACGACACACTTTTACTTTTGTCAATCAATATTTTTGGATTGGATTCGTTTTCAAACTTTGCACATCAAAATTTTTCTCCTGCTTCTTCTTCACTTGTTTGTGCACTTTGTTGAGGCCCGTTATCGGTGCGATAGGCGATAGCTATCGATAGCGCCTGCGCAGCCGTTCGATACAACATGCGCAAAGATTCTTAAAAGATTATAGCAACTAAGCACAAGAATTTTGACATCTAATTTATTTATTTTACGTTTAAATCAAATTAAGAATTATATGTTTCTTGATTAAACAACCCTCGAACGGCTGTTATCTTGTTATCTTAATGCAGCCCTGGTTGTTGTCTATCAGCTGTTTTGCAGCAGGGACGTTGAAAAAGGGATGTCTTATTTTTTAATAATTAAACAATTAAATCAACTCTAGCTTATAAAACTCTTGCCCAAATAAGCATATTTTTTAAGAAAATTATTTAAACTTAAAAACGATAGTTACATTAAATGAAACGACAACCCTAAATTTATCGATATCCTGGTGGCAGCATGCTGTTTATTTCTATTCACAGCTGTTAATTGGAAATTACATAAAATGGTACAAACTTAGCTCATAATTTTTAAAAACATTCGTAAAAGTCTATCATCTATCCCCAAATTCCATATATCCGTAAATCGCAAATTTATCTGTACGATGTCGTCGCCTAAAACTCAAACCATTCCCGCACCAAAGGCAAGTTCCGTGATCTTGGCGGGGCTTGGAGTGGCTGCTGTGGGCTTCGCCGGCAAGCACCTGCTGCGTCGCATGCCCCAGATGACCACCAAGTTCAACGAGGCGCTCAAAAACTTGCCCAAGTTCGACGCGGAGAGCATGGCGGCGTCCAAGTACTACAAGGGCGGCTTCGATCCTAAAATGAACAAACGAGAAGCGGCGCTCATTCTGGGTGTTAGTCCAAGTGCTTCCAAGTTGAAGGTAATCCTCTCAATCTATATATATGTTTCCTTACTAATCGCTGTTGCATTTACAGATCAAGGATGCTCATAAGAAGATCATGTTGCTTAACCATCCGGATCGAGGGGGTTCACCCTACTTGGCGGCCAAAATCAACGAAGCCAAGGACTTTCTGGACAAAGCTAAATAGAGTCGGGAATATATCCCCCCCTTCGAGTGTAAATAAACTAGTTGTTAGCATGTAAGGTCACTTTTGTAGTGTTTTATTAAAGGGAACAATGTTTGCCGTCTACGAATTGTATAAATTTTAGTAAAATTTCGCATAAAGGCATCCTAGTCCTTGAACGAGAAGTATGTGATTCTTCATGCAGCGGCACTGATACCGCCAGCATATTAGGAAGAAGTTCTTGCAGCTTAGTTCCTCACCCAAATGGCATTCTGAAAGTGTAGGTTAATATATCTATGGATCTATAATTTAAGATTACTTACGAATGCGCGACATGGGATTGTGTATTGAGGATATTAAGTTTGTATTAAGAAAGCTAATTAGAGCGATTAGCAGGCACTTTATAAACCACATCTTTGTTCCTTGGTTTCTGTAGAGGAATGAAAGGTATATGTTCCATTATGATGGCTCATACTTAGCTATTGAAACTCTATAAAGTAAATAAATCGATTTAGCTTCAAGTAGAATTCAAAGAAAGAAATTAGACTCCAATATGTTCTTGACATGCTTAGCGCTACTATATATTTTTAGAGTCTAACTTGAAAGCTAATTCTTAATTATAAACAGAATTTATTTCAGGCTCTTATTATCTTAATTATTTGCCAGTTTTAATTATAAAAAAGAAATGGAAAAGTTTCCGCGTTTGAACAGTTGCTGTTGCGAATTTGCGAATTTTGTATTTGTTTACCCCCTTTTGGCACAGATCAGATCAGAGATTGTGTGACGACAGAGGTTCTCCAAGAGATTCTCACGCTGCTTGGAGCCAGTTGGCTTGTGTTTACCTTGCCAATATTGTCGCTGAACCCGACTCCGCTCGGGGGGTATAAATAGCGTGGGATTAGCTCCAGAACAGCATCAGTTGTTGATCACATCCGGTAATCAACCATCGACATGAAGTTCACCTGGGCATTCCTCATCCTGGCCGTACTGGCATGTGTCCTGGTGGACCAATCCAGCGGTGCCACCACCTCCACCACCACCACCACAGAATCCACGACCACAACCACCACCACAGCTGCCTCTGATACCACCACCACCACTACGGCGTCTTCGGACTCTACCACCACAACCACCGAATCCTCCTCGTCCACCAAAAAGAAGAAGCACGTGACCCACTACAAGCGCAAGACCCACCGGCCCAAGAGGATCGTCAAGTCCCGCCGCCACCGCAGGAACAAGAACAAGAGCAAGAAGAACCGTAGCGGTTAAGGATGCTCCTCCTCCTCCGCATGATTATGACCCTTTCGACGTTCTAGAACCCAACTCTTCCAAAAATGGCTTTAAAGTACCTTCTACACTAACCTGGCATTACCAAAAATACAAAAAAAAATACATAGTTTTTAAGAAAAATAAAGAAAGAGTCCTTATTTAAAAAAAGAATACCATTTTTTAAGTTCGAACTAGTTTATTAAGGATTAAGGATACTTCCTCCTTTATTGGCCAACTCTAGCCCAAGGACCTCTTCTTCATTTCCTCACGAAACTGGGCTACGGACACCATATTATTTTGATCCTTGTGCTCGCTGGTTAGACACTCCCACATGGCATCGAAGGTGTCCTTGGGAAGGATGTCGCAGAATATGCGACCCACTTCCTCTCGGGAGCGTGGCTGTTTGAAGTCACTGGGCCACAATCCACGCAGAGTGCTTATATCCGGATTAATGATGTCATTGACATGGGTGTTGTCCATGTCCTTCTGCACCGCGGACTTGTGCGGAAAGCTCATGTTGCGATCCTTGTTGGGTTCCTTGCCCAGATCCGCGCACAGCAGCCGGTAGGTGGTGTCCTTGTTGTAGACTGCATCCGGCAGGGGAGAAATGGAACCCACCAGCGGCAGGGGCACCAAGATGGAAAGGAGCTGGACCAGATCCTCGTATTTGACGGCCTCGGAACAGCAGCCCTCGTCCACGATCAGTTGGTAGTGCGAGGTGGCCGTCCGTATCTTATCCGAATCAGCCGGGATGTGCATTTTTCTCAAGAGGGTTATGATCTCCGGCAGTGGCAGTAGTCCCGTGGATTCCTTATCCTTGTTCCGCAACACCGTAAGGATGTGGTTAATGGTGATGTCATCCTGTCGCTGTAGAAAGTCTCGCAATGTGTTCATGTGGCTAATGGCTTCGGATAACTTTTCGGATTTCTCCGAGGGCCAGGTGTTCTCCAGCAGGGATCTCATGTCGACCTCGTTGCGCTTCACCAGACCAAAGGTGATGTTCTCCGGGATGACATAAGGATACCATGCAAACTTCTTGCCCAGAGGAGCTTTGGTGCGATCCTCCAAGTCCACCACTGGCTTCTTCACAATCAGCAAGTGCTCCTCGCCCTCCTTCAGGCAATTCTTCATCTTGATGCCACTGCGATCCGAGTTACTGGGAATGCCAAAGGCCCGGAACCTATTGAACTCCTTGTTGTATCCACGATTGATCTGCTCGGCTGGGAAGTAGTGGTTGTGGCTAACGATGTGCTTCTGATGGAACTCGGCGTACTCCCGATTCACTTGCTCGGCGGTCTTCCGCGGCATCAAAAGGTCATAGAGGGCACCTTCCTGCGGATTGGCATCTCCAAAGGTCCGGCTCAGATTGGTCACATCATCCGGTTTCGATTTGGTCTCCATTGCCTCGCCCAGTCCTATCTTTTTCTTGAACAGATTCTCCCGGCACTTCTCCTGGAGCAGCGTCATCAGGCTCTTGTTCAGCTCGAAGCTCAGAAGCTCTCCAATGGAGTTGCCCGGAATCCTGGGCGAACGTTTGCCAGTGGGCTTGGGCTTACTCCTCCGGCAGTGGGCTCTTATCAGGTTCTCTGCTTGTTCGTCGGTATCCAAAGACGGCAAACAGTCCTTGACTCCAGCGTTGAAGTTGGGATCCTTGTAGGACGATATGCCCGCCACCCGCAGGTCGGGACTTCGGTCTATAAAGCGACCCTTGTTGGCCATTTTTGGTTTGTTCTGATGGGTGTGTGGTATATATTTTAGATATATTCTGACGGATATGGTGTGGGTAGTGTTGTATGTTGGGTTTTAACTTCTAATATGAGGTGGCTTTGTAGGAAAGGGATAAGATATAGGGCTACAGGGCTATAGGTCCTAAAACTAGACTGCCGGACTCTGTCCGTCTAAAAAATAGTACCAGTCTCTTATAATAGTTATGGTGTCTTAGAATCTTTTGGGAGTTATCTTCCCAAAAACTCCCAGGAACTTAAAGATATAAAACCTATATTCCCAGGCATACTTATTAAAAGAAATTAGTCCTTAATCCTTTAAAAAGCTATGTCTACAACTCCCCAAAAGTATCATTATTTCTTTTAAGATTAAATACAACAATTTCAACTTAAAATTATTTCTTTTTACTTTCATTTTCAGATCTAATCAAATATTAGTGTTCTTTGTTGAAAATTTCGTCCTGGAAGTGACTGACGGATGCCTTTTCGTCCTAATCCTTGAACTTTGACCATCAGGAGCTGCCAGATAGACTCAAAGTCTGTCTTCAGTCTCCCGAAAATGAGTAGCAAGGAGGATATGGACACGCCAGGGAGTAAAGACGTTGGGAAGCAACCCGATCGTGGTGGATACTTCGGAATAGAGGAGCTCCTTCACCCGCGTGTTGACTTCGTCCCAGGCCCTGAGACTTCGATGAGTTGTGTTGAGATGAGTTGTGATGAGTTCAGTTGTGGACCGGTCCCTTCTAGAAATGCTTCTTGCGGACCTCACAGAGCATTCGGTAGGTGGTGTCCTTGTTGTCCAGGTTGTCCAGCATAGTGGTAATAGAACCCAGTGGTGTCAGGGGATGGCAGAAGACCTGGCGAAGGAACTGGCGGTAGTGAAGGGACTCCCTGGAACAGCCCTCGTCAAGGATCATGTCCGGGTGCTTTGCCCTTGTCAATTGTTATCTGAAGTCGGGTTAGGACGTCCCAGAAGCGATCAAATGGCAACTGGAATTTATTCTCCTTGTCGATCCTGTTAAGTTGCAGGAAAACATCGTCGTAGCAGATTCCGGAGGTCCTATTCCTTCGCAGCCTGGCTCGGAATCCTCTCAAGTAGCTGATGGCTTTTTCACGCTTCTCGGTTATCCAGGATTAGTTTCATGTCGTCCTCGCCACAATTTCCCCGCCGGAAATAGGTGAAAATATTTTCGGAAACCTTATTCAGAGATCTTTCTAAAATAGAAGTTTGTAAAGTATTTGTTGAATTGGGTATTTGGCAAAAAATACTATAAATAAACGTTGCAAAATAGCTCTTTAGATCGGAAAGCACCTGAGTAAATATATTTTTCAGTTGGCTTGGGCTTGGTGTTGCAAATTACCAAGTTTCCACTGACGCTAACATTGGCAAATACCACATATACAAAAAATATGGAATTGAAAGCCTTAAATAAATACGAATTTAAAAGAATGGATACCAAAATATTGAGATAACCTTAAGAAAAGCTTTGTGTGGACCAGACTTACTTTTCAAACTTTTTACCCAAAAGGTCCTTTGGTCCTTGCCTCATGATCTTGCCACTGACATCGACCTTTAAGGGCGTTCTGTAGTTCTTGTTACGATCGAAGGGAGAGGCATAGCTGTTATAGACAATAGATTATAAATCTACAACATAGACCTTTGGGTACTACCCACTTTCTATGGGTTAGTCCTTTGCTGAAGACCCCCTGATCTTGGTTGAGCTCATCCCATAAACCGACTCCCTTGTGGAACTGGCCCGAAAGGTCCCCCCAAAGGTCCGACTGGTGGTGGTAATATCATCTGGCTTGGTGGCTGAAGGTTTCCTTCAACTTGATCTCCTTCATTCACTGGATTAGTGACTTTCGTAGCTTCACGCTGAAGAGTTCCTTTACTTTTCTTCAGGTTTGGGAAGACTCTTCCGGTAGTTCTGCTCGATGTCACCCCGTATAAGGTCCTCAGGATGGGGCTATCGTTATGCAGTCCTGGAGACTCGTCTGTTCTTCGATATAGGTAGGTATTCCGGCTGCTGGTATAGTTGGATTCCTATTTATAAAGAATCCTGTAGTAACCTATTACTATTTTTTTTTTGAGGATTTTTAAGGCTTTTCAGTGTCTTCTTTTGTTTTCAAGCTTCAAGTGTCTGTTGTGTTTTCTTATTTTCGTAAAAATAATTAAAATTTGAATGATAATTTTTTAAAATTTACATATGTCATTTTATTTTTCAAATGTTTTATTTTTCTTATTTCTTAGCCCTTCCTGTGGGTCACTCGGACGATGGTCTTGTGGCACCTCTTGGGATGCTTGCACTTCTTCTTGGGCCTGAACTTGCCACACCAGTTGTTTTTCTTGGAGCACTTCTTCTTTCCAGAGGAGGACGATTCGGTGGTGGTGGTTGTGGAAGAAGAAGCTGTCGTAGTGGTTGTTGCCGAAGTGGTGGTCGTGGTGGTGGTGGGATCAGTGGTGGTAGGTGAGGTGGCCGAAGCCAACTGGATGGCCAGGACAGCCAGAGCAACTACAAAGAGGTACTTCATCTTGCAAGAAATGTTCAAGATTGGAACTGTAAGATTTTTATGATTAATTGGATTGGAACTTGGCCCTTATATAGTGGCTTGTAAAGTTCCGCTTCTTGGATCGAAAACTTTAATAAATTTGAATCAATATGTTAGGTTTTTTAGTAAATATTTAATCTTTTGTGTGCTAATCACAAACTTACCCCTTGGGGTAGGCTACAAAAACTGAAGAATAGTAACCTCGACCACCTCTTCTGTTGACTTTCTTAATATTAACTTGTTTGCTTTTAAATTTTTAAGATTTCCAGCAAAAATAAACATAAATGAGAAGAGGAAGCCGACATTGTTACATGTTTTTATAATTTATTTCTTAACCACTTCCATTTAGACCAATTTATCTGAAGTCTCTGCTTCAAAAATATGCATCTGATCTCGAAACTGATTCACGGAAGCCACCTGATCCTTCTCCTGATCCTGTTCCTTCGCCATAAGTTGCTGCCACACTACCTGGAACGTCTCCTCGGAGATGAGGCTTCTGAAGATTTGTTGGATTTGCGACTTGGATCGCAGACACTCAAAGTCCATGGGTCCCAGTCCCCGGAGAGTGCCCACCTCCGGCGCAATGAGATCCTTCACATGAGTATTGCCAGCTTCCAGTTTCTCGGGGGTCGTCACGTTAACCCGAACCGGGTTGGGTGTCTTGTGGCGATCGGCGCAGAGCAGACGGTAGGTGGTGTCCTTGAGGCTATTGCCATTCGCCAAGGTGCTTAGGCAGGCCCCCTGGGGCAGGGGGTCCTGGATGGAGAGCAGTCGGCAAAAGTCCTCGTAGCTGAGACGCTCCGTGGCACAGCCCTCGTCCACAAACATCCGGAAGTGGGAGATTAAGATCCGAAACTTCCGAGCATCGACCCGCACATTGAACTTCTGCAGAGTCTCCAAGATGCGGTCCAGCGGCAGCTGGCCAGTCTGATCGAGATCCTGGCGCTCCAGGGCCGTGTACAGGATACGCATATGGAAGTCGGACCTCTTGCGGAGACCCTGGCGTAGTGTCTTCAGATATCTGATGGCCGCCATCAGGAAGTTGGCGCTCTCACAGGGTACCACATTGTCTATCAACATCTTCACACTGCCGTTGCTCTGGTTGGGTCGCCCGAACACCATATCCGGAACCTCCGAAGGATACCTTTCAAGGACATGTGGATTAGGCTATGTAGGCTTTGATTCTAAGGACACTTACGATTTAAACTTCTTGCCCAGTGGAGCTTCGGTGCGATTCATAAAGTCCACCTGGGCCTTGCCAATCACCTTCAGATGGTTCTCTCCCTCCACTAAGCAGTGTTTTACATTCAAGCCCGTGTCCAGAGCTTGATGGCAGTCCCCAAAGATGTCGGAGGGATCAAAGGGCTTCTTGTAGCTGGAAAGGATTAGGGACTTTAATTTTTAATAATCCTATGGAGGTGTACACTCACTTTCGACGTATTTGCTCAGCGGGAAAGTAGTGATTGTGGCTGACGATGTGCTTGTCATGGAATTCTCCGTACTCCCGATTCACTTCCTCGGCCGACTTAACGGGCATGATCAGGGAGTAAAGGGAGTCCGTGGAATTCGATGGCCTGCCAAAGGTCTGGCTCAAGTTGGTGACACTGTCTGGCTTCGTGTAGGCCGGCTTGACCTCTCCCACAATGGGCTTCTTGAAGTACAGCTCCTCGTAGAACTTCTCCTTGAAGGACACGAAGCGGGACTTGCGCAACTCACTCGTCAGGAGATCCTTGAGAGAGCTGTCCGGCTTGATGGGAGTGCGAGGACCCTCCGGTCTGGGATGTTTCTGGGCACAATCGGCGCGAACCAGATGCTCGGCCAGCTCCTCCGAATGGTTGAAGATCAGACAGTCTTTGGCGCCATTCCCGATCAGGCCTGAGGAACTCAAGCCAGCAGCACGAATGTCCTTGTTTCTGTCCGTAAAGTGGCCCACATTGGCCATTATAAGGGGGTGTAGGGTGTGTGTGTGTGTGTAAATTCTAACCTAATATTATCATTAATATTATCATGACACTTGAATCGTTTCAATAAATAAATAAATCTCCTTTTAATCAATCTCGCAAGTGAGTATGTCGTTTACATTTCAATTATTTTATGGCTTAGCACTAGTTCAACTTTAGTTTAGGTCTCCTAGTCTTGTGTACACGGTACATTGCACTTAGCTGGCCGCGGAGATGGCATATGAGTGGTCTTAGTGCTGTAGGGCCTGGTTCTTGGTCAGCACAAAGTCCCAGGTGTCCTTCCAGCGCAGGCGTCGCACCTCGCCGTTGGTCATCTTCGTCGATCCATAGCTGAAGGGCAGGAACTTGACGAATACCATGAACACCCCCACAAGCCACAGGATCAGACAGAGGCGATAGATCCGCACTGCGTGCACAGCTCGTCCAGTGCAGAAGCGACGCAGCACATAGTCCAAGTGGTCCACCACATAGCACAGCAGGAGGAGCTTGAACACAAAGGCCGGCATGTAGTGGTGAAGATAGAGCGTCCGGTCCATGAAGAAGAAGGGCAGATAGTGGATCAAGTAGCCGACAAAGAAGGTGTTGCCGACATTCAGGAACTTCCGCCACTCCGGCTCCGGTATGTCGAAGCAGAGGCGTCGTCGTCGGATCAGATAGAAGGCAAGTAGGACGGCATAGATGAGGATGCCCCAGGTGGCCGAGTACCAGATCACCAGGTTGCCCAGCAGAAAGATCTGGGCACTGGAGTTCTCGTCCAGCCAGTAGGCGATGCCCTTGTCCATCAGCGGCCACTCGTGCGGCTGGGAGCTGTACATGTGGGCCTGCAGTTCGCCGGCCTGCCAGAACATCTTGGCCTGAAGCTCGAACAGCTTTTGCAGGAAGGTAAGACGGGTTCGCTTGGTGGGGATCATCTCGGCGTTCAGCAGCTGCCTTTCCCGCTCCCGGTGATCTTGAGCTGGAGGATCAAAAAATGTACATCATTAGTTATATCTAGAAGGACTATTAACTTCCACTTACTCTGGGTATAACGATGCTCCTCCACATTCCATACAGTATCCTGATGCTCTGTACTCCGATCCGCCACCACTTCATGCTGATTGAAGCCCCATTCCGGTAGCTGGCGGCCACTGAACTTCAGAGCCGCTCCCGTGGACTCGTGGATGAGCTGGATCTCCGACTTGATGGCATGCCAGCTGTTGCCCTCCGAGGCCCGATTCAGGATCTCCACCCGCCACAACAGCTCTCCGGCCATCTTGATGTCGTAGTCTATGTAGCAGCTCACCTCCTGACACTGCGGCGTCAGAGGAGCGGCTACGTCATGGGAGTTCAGGGCTCTGCTGGTGATTCCATGTACCAGCTGGATGATGTCTCCGTGCCGAATGACGTCCGGATAGTCGCCCACCACCAGCTCCTCCTTGGTGGGTCGCTTCACAATCCACCAGTTGTTGACGTCCTTGAAGGAGTAGCAGGTCACCTGCTGCTGGTGGGAGGAGCCGCGCTTGTCCTTGTACCGCACCGGATAGACGGCTGCATGGGAGTGCAGCCAGCAGGTGCGTCCGTGGGTGTGTCGCAACGTGATCTGTGATCCATGGGCCACCTTCAAGGGCTGTCCCTTTGTTATTGAAGCCAGCCCACCGTCCAAGGAGGCCTGGAAGGCGCTGGTCATGATGCTGTCATGTGGCCCGGCCTTGTGAAGCGTCCGGAAGTGGATGTAGAAGACGCCCAGGTACAAGATGAGGGGAATACCCACAAAAATCAGGATGCGACTCACGGCGTGGATCCAAAGTTGTCGGTCTATGAAGGGGAACAAGTTTCAGATTATAATGGGAACCACACTGCGTATACGTAATATGAGACAACCACACTTACTGGTCAGACTTGCATCGTAGAGCAGCTGCCACAAGTGCCGGCAGAGCATGTACAAAGCCAGTGCCAGAGACAGGAAGCCAATATACTTGACCACCCCGGCAGCTGCCAGGAAAACCGCCGCCGCCACTCCGGTGGCCACCCACTGGAAGCTGCCCAATCGCGATCGCTGGAACCGCAACAGAAAAGCTATCCCCAGGGTAGCGCCCAGCAAGAGCATCGATTCCATTAGTACGAAACGGGACTGGGTTAGCAGGGAGTTGTCCAAGATGACCAGCAGACCACCGAGGGCGGATGCCCACCGACTCAGCTTCGCCTCCAACAGCAGCTTGTAGACAACGGGAGCCAGTAGACTTCCGCAGAGAGCCGGTAGAAATCGGAACCAAAAGATGGGAACTTCCGGGCTGTAGGGATCTCCGATTTGGGAAAACGTGTAGTTGCCATCGTAACCGGCCAGACTAACCAGTCCGGCTATCAGCTGTTTTCCCAGCGGAGGATGTTGGTCGAAGAAAAATATATTTCTCATATAGTGGGCGATATATTTGCCATAATGCAGTTCATCGAATCTATAAAGGAAGTCAAAATTATATTAAAAATATTAAAATACAGGGTGCGGTTCGAAAACCTAAACATAAGCGTGGGCTTTCGAGTCATAAACATGCTGTGGGCTTTTAGTTTCTTTCCAATCTGGTTCTGCAGCTTCATTTTAATAATATCCCCCGATTGGAGAGAAAATAAAAATAGAAATCAACCAGTTTTTTTCTTTAAATTCTAAAAAGACTGAATAATATTAACCATCATGTCTGGTTGGATCTCAAAACAAAAAGAGAAAGGTCTTTAGTAAGCGTCTCTTAGTAAGAGTCTAAGTTCTTTCTCTTAGATGGTGACCCAGATTCTCTGTTTGTTTTTATACCCTGTACATGTGGAGCAAGAAGGAGTATTACTTAAGAGAGTCACGATATATTATTTATCTTATAAATCTTAAAACTTAATCTATAATTTAATTAATAGGTATCACTAGCTTTAAACTTACACAATATTACGTGGTGTTGCCAACTTGTAGAATCGCGTGCCGAACGCCAGCAGAAAGAGCGCCCAGCTAAAGAGATCGATTCTCAGGCTAACGGTAAACGGCGGTGTAAGCTCTGGCGTTTTGGCGTCCTCTGCCACCGCTGCCCTCGCTGCTGCAGCTGCGCTGTTCTTAAGCTTTAGCTTTTGTTTTTGCCTTTGATCGCGTGCAGGTGAGCGCGAGCGGGAGAGCGAGCACGAGCGTGAAGGTGAACACGAATTCGACCGGTCGGAGGTAGGCGATGGGGAGGCTTGTTTTGGCGTCGGTGTCTGCGTCGGCGTTGGCGTCGCGGCTGGTGTTGTGTGCCGGCTAACGCTGCCGCGCAGCGGCGCATTCAAATGGCAATTGACGTCGAGGCAGCAATTGAGCAGCGACATGCCACCGTTACAGCACAGTGGTGAAGGTGAATTGAACGCTGCAGTTGAGCTTGTTGAACGGCTGCGAAAGTGAAGTCTTTCGTTTGGCTCGCCGCTGGCATCGCTGCCCGACCATTGCTGCTGTTGTTGTTGTTGCTGCCTAAGCTTGGAGCGCTGCGTCGTCGTCTTGCGGCGCTGCGTTATGGTGTTAGTGTAGGTGGCGGACATGTCTGGAGTTTCCTCGATCAGCACTTAGCGGGCATTTCTTCCTCGTCACTTTCACTTCTCGAATAGTTCACACATTGGATAATCCCTGCGATAACACACAGTGATAATCAGTTTACAAAATATCTTTTGTTTTGGTTTTATTGTTGTTTCTCTTTATTGCCACGTTTGCCAGCAGCAGCAGCCAAAAAAACCAGTTTGCACTTTCTACAGCCACTTGTTGCCTTCCTCGGTTTTTTAATTTCTTTGCATTTACATACAAATGATGCCCAGCTGACGAAGAAAGTCTTGAAATATTCCCACAGACACAAACACACTCACAAGCACTCTCACCCCGTATCGGATAAATATAGCAGTGGCTATATCGAATTAGCTCCTCGACCAAAAATCGCAACCTGCGCGACGTAGAGCTCGCGGCGCACTGATACAATGGAGCCTCGACGGCTCCCTCTTCCTCAGTCGCTAGTGCTGCCGCTGCTCTGCTCTGCGCCGGCAGCGAACTCAACAACACCTGGAATGTGGTTCGGCTGCTGGAGGGGCCCTGTCTCTTTTCACTGCTTCCTCGGCTGCTTGGATTCTTGGCCCATTTCCCGTTTTGGTCTCAGCTCTGACTGGTATAAGGTTGGCTGGAAAAAGGCTAAAATATAGGAGAGTTATTAGGAATATAAAAGGTTATTAATTATAAAAATGTTATAAATTATATATTTAAAAGGCTTTTTAGTTTGAAGAATCCCTTATTTTATAGCTATAGCACTTTTATAAAGGATTATCTAAAACAGGAAAATAAATCCACTAAGCTTTCTAGCTTTAAAAAAGCTAAGCTTCCATCAATGATCACACGTAAGATCTCTCCCTATGCTCCTTAAGTCCCTTTCTCCCCTCTCTTTTTACACTCTTCCTGGCCAATTAAGTGAATGTCGCCAAATGGAGCTGGCAATAACAACAAAAAACAGCAACAACAATTACACACTATTTATTGGCGCTCTAAAGAGCAACTAAGAGGATCGCGTTGCAGGTGCGTTGTAGTACTGGGAGGGGTGGAGTTGCGGTGGGAACCTGTTCTCTTGATTGATGACCTATTCCAGACACCATGGACCATTCAGTTGAGTACTTGCCTGACCCAATGCCCTGAATCTTGGCATCTTCCGTACCTTTGGTAGTAAGATTGAAACTTTTTCGATTTTTGTATCGATACGTGACATCTGTGGCGCAGGCTTTCAATTTTTTTGGAATTAGATAAACTTTTTCAGAACCGGTTTTGCACTAAAAACCGATTCATTGTCAAGATGATGCGTAAAAGACACTGCTTTTTAGGGAATTAAAAACAAAAAAAAATCTTATGATATAAAAATGTGTTAATCAAAAATAGTTTATAGCATATTAGCTATAAGAAAGTGAAATGTAACCCAATTATTCTTTAATCTTGAAGGCCTTGAAAAATATAAACAAAGAACTTAAAAAAAAACCAACTTATTTTTTGCATAATTAACAATTTTTTTTTAATTTTCAACATTTAACAAATAAACATAACTCTTAATACTAAGGTGGGAAAAATAACAGTTCTTCATCAATGGGAGTAGATTTGGCCAAAAACCGGTATATCATTCAGGCTAGCATTTAACCGCTGCGCTTCTTGCTGCGGCGGATCTTCTTGACCTTCTTGCCCCGCTTGGTCTTGCGCTTGTAGTGGGTCACGTGCTTCTTCTTTCCGGAGGACGAGGAGGACTCGGTGGTTGTGGTGGTAGAATCCGATGAAGAAGCCGTGGTGGTCGTGGTGTCTGATGATGCAGCAGTGGTGGTTGTGGTTGTTGTGGATTCTGTGGAGGTGGTGGTGGAGGTAGTGGCGGCACTAGACTGTTCCACCAGGACACAAGCCAGGACAGCCAGGAGCAGGAAAGCAAAAGTGAACTTCATGTTGATGGTTGATTACTGGTTGGGATCAACTGATGCTGTTATGGAGTTAGGCCCACACTATTTATACCCCTCCAAAACAAGTGGATTAACCCACTATCGTGAGAACTTAAAGCAAGGTTCAATTCTTGTATCAAAAACAACTAAATATATAACTAGGCCGAATAAATAAAAATTTGCCAATAATTCCGCCTACCAAAAGGCAGTTGCGCAAATAACAAAGAATGTAAAGATTCCAACGTGGTCGAAAGTGACGACAATTGACTATTCTTGAGTTTCAGCTGTTGATGTTTACAAAAGCACTTTCTTATTATATAACTTTTCCAAAGGAGATAAACAATAACAACAAAACAAGATCTAACAATTATGATGCTCTGAATATTATTGAAAATGTTGTGCCACTTTAAAAAACCCAAAATATACATACATATATTTTTTTGACGAAAATCTTTAAGAATTAATGTTTTTACGGAGTAAAACCTTTTACATTTATGGATCTGATCTCTTCTCTTCCCTATCAGCTAAAGCTACAAATCTGTAAATATTCATTTCATTGTTGATAAATTTGTAGATTTTTTGTCAAATTTCCTGGACGACCCCCTTCAAAAATCTAAAAAATCCTTGGAGCCACTTTTTGGTCTCCTATGAAGGCTATATCTTTGGCAATTATCATCCGATCCTTAAGCGGAATACCTTAAACGATTCGTAGATTCATTCTTCATAAATCTGCGTTAAAATCTGGAATCAAAATATTTTTCAGATTTTTTGTCAAATTTCCTGGACGACCGCCTTCAAAAATCTAAAAAATCCTTGGAGCCACTTTTTGGTCTCCTATGAAGGCTATATCTTTGGCAATTATCATCCGATCCTTAAGCGGAATACCTTAAACGATTCGTAGATTCATTCTTCATAAATCTGCGTTAAAATCTGGAATCAAAATATTTTTCAGATTTTTTGTCAAATTTCCTGGACGACCGCCTTCAAAAATCTAAAAAATCCTTGGAGCCACTTTTTGGTCTCCTATGAAGGCTATATCTTTGGCAATTATCATCCGATTCATTGGCGGAATACCTTAAGCGGTTCGTAGATCCATTCTGCATAAATCTGCATTAAAATCTGGAAACAAAATATTTTTCAGATTTCATTGGCGGAATACCTTAAGCGGTTCGTAGATCCATTCTGCATAAATCTGCATTAAAATCTGGAAACAAAATATTTTTCAGGTTTTTCAAAAAAAATCTCAAAAATCTATGGAGCCACTTTTTGGTCTCATAGGAAAACTATATCTCCGACAATAATCATCCGATCCTTGAACGGAATACCTTAAACGATTCGTAGATCTATTCTGCATAAATCTGCATCAAAATCTGAAAACAAAATATTTTTCAGATTTTTTGTAAAATTTCCTGGAGGACCCCCTTTAAAAATCTCAAAAATCTATGGAGCCACTTTTTGGTCTCATAGGAAAACTATATCTTCGACAATAATCATCCGATCCTTCAACGGAATACCTTAAACGATTCGTAGATCTATTCTGCATAAATCTGCATCAAAATCTGGAAACAACATATTTTTCAGATTTTTTGTAAAATTTCCTGGAGGACCCCCTTCAAAAATCTCAAAAATCTATGGAGCCACTTTTTGGTCTCATAGGAAAACTATATCTCCGACAATAATCATCCGATCCTTGAACGGAATACCTTAAACGATTCGTAGATCTATTCTGCATAAATCTGCATCAAAATCTGAAAACAAAATATTTTTCAGATTTTTTGTAAAATTTCCTGGAGGACCCCCTTTAAAAATCTCAAAAATCTATGGAGCCACTTTTTGGTCTCATAGGAAAACTATATCTTCGACAATAATCATCCGATCCTTCAACGGAATACCTTAAACGATTCGTAGATCTATTCTGCATAAATCTGCATCAAAATCTGGAAACAAAATATTTTTCAGATTTGTTGTAAAATTTCCTGGAGGACCCCCTTCAAAAATCTCAAAAATGCATGGAGCCACTTTTTGGTCTCATAGGAAGGCTATATCTTCGGCAATAATCATCCGATTCATTGGCGGAATACCTTAAACGATTCGTAGATCTATTCTGCATAAATCTGCATCAAAATCTGGAAACAAAATATTTTTCAGATTTTTTGTAAAATTTCCTGGAGGACCCCCTTCAAAAATCTCAAAAATCTATGGAGCCACTTTTTGGTCTCATAGGAAAGCTATATCTTCGGCAATAATCATCCGATCCTTAAACGGATACCTTAAACGATTCGTAGATCTATTCTGCATAAATCTGCATCAAAATCTGGAAACAAAATATTTTTCAGGTTTTTTGTAAAATTTCCTGGAGGACCCCCTTCAAAAATCTCAAAAATGCATGGAGCCACTTTTTGGTCTCATAGGAAGGCTATATCTTCGGCAATAATCATCCGATCCTAAAACGGAATACCTTAAACGATTCGTAGATCTGTTCTGCATAAATCTGCATCAAAACCTGGAAACAGAATATTTTTCAGATTTTTTGTAAAATTTCCTGGAGGACCCCCTTCAAAAATCTCAAAAATGCATGGAGCCACTTTTTGGACTCATAGGAAAGCTATATCTTCGGCAATAATCATCCGATCCTTAAACGGAATACCTTAAACGATTCGTAGATCTATTCTGCATAAATCTGCATCAAAATCTGGAAACAGAATATTTTTCAGATTTTTTGTAAAATTTCCTGGAGGACCCCCTTCAAAAATCTCAAAAATGCATGGAGCCACTTTTTGGTCTCATAGGAAGGCTATATCTTCGGCAACAATCATCCGATCCTAAAACGGAATACCTTAAACGATTCGTAGATCTATTCTGCATAAATCTGCATCAAAATCTGGAAACAAAATATTTTTCAGATTTTTTGTAAAATTTCCTGGAGGACCCCCTTCAAAAATCTCAAAAATGCATGGAGCCACTTTTTGGTCTCATAGGAAGGCTATATCTTCGGCAATAATCATCCGATCCTGAAACGGAATACCTTAAACGATTCGTAGATCTGTTCTGCATAAATCTGCATCAAAAACTGAAAACAAAATATTTTTCAGGTTTTTTGTAAAATTTCCTGGAGGACCCCCTTCAAAAATCTCAAAAATGCATGGAGCCACTTTTTGGTCTCATAGGAAGGCTATATCTTCGGCAATAATCATCCGATCCTAAAACGGAATACCTTAAACGATTCGTAGATCTGTTCTGCATAAATCTGCATCAAAACCTGGAAACAGATTATTTTTCAGATTTTTTGTAAAATTTCCTGGAGGACCCCCTTCAAAAATCTCAAAAATGCATGGAGCCACTTTTTGGACTCATAGGAAAGCTATATCTTCGGCAATAATCATCCGATCCTTAAACGGAATACCTTAAACGATTCGTAGATCTATTCTGCATAAATCTGCATCAAAATCTGGAAACAGAATATTTTTCAGGTTTTTTGTAAAATTTCCTGGAGGACCCCCTTCAAAAATCTCAAAAATCTATGGAGCCACTGTTTGGTCTCATAGGAAAGCTATATCTTCGGCAATAATCATCCGATCCTTAAACGGAATACCTTAAACGATTCGTAGATCTATCCTGCATCAAAATCTGGAAACAAAATATTTTTCAGATTTCTTGTCATAGTTTTTGGAAGACTCCCTTCAAAAAGTCGAAGGCTACATCTTTGGCAATAATCATCTAATATTTGAGAATTAGAAAAATTTTCTGAAGTGTCTTTTTAAAAACTGTGAAAAATTCATTGAAGGACAATAAGATTCCGAAGTAAGATTATTTGTGTAAAGAAAATAAATGAAAGTATAGTATTTTAGATTAATAGATTTTGTTTATTAAAAATAATAAAGATAAAACCTATTAATAGTTCGAAGTGGGAGAGGAATAGAAGCCTGGGTCTGGGTCGGTTAAGTCATATTCATTAGCTTTCTGAATGAATTAGTTCTTGTTCTTGCGGTGGCGGCGGGTCTTGATGATGTGCTTGCCCCTCTTGGTCTTGCGCTTGTAGTGGGTCACGTGCTTCTTCTTTTTAGAGGACGAGGAAGACTCGGTGGTTGTGGTGGATGAATCCGAAGAAGAAGCCGTCGTGGTGGTGGTGTCCGAGGATGCAGCAGTGGTGGTGGTGGTTGTTGTGGCTTCTGTGGAGGTTGTGGTGGAGGTGGTGGCGGCGCTAGACTGGTCCACCAGGACACAGGCCAGGACAGCCAGGAGCAGAAAAGCACAGGTGAACTTCATGATGTTGGTTGATGGCTGGTTGGGATCAACTGATGCCGTTCTGGAGTTAGGCCCGTACTATTTATAGTACTATACGTACTATGTACGTACTATACCCCTCTGAATTACCCACTCTGGATTAACCCACTATCGTGAGAACTTAAAGCAAGGTTCTCATTTTGGATAAAAATAAGTACAAAACTAGTCCAAACAAACAAAGATTTGTCAATAACTATGCCTACCACAAGGCAGCTTCACAAATAAAACAAATTGTAGAGATCACAACGTTGTCGAAAGTGACGTCAATGGACTCTATTAAAGACCCAACTTTTGATGTTTAAAAATCTAAGACTTTCCAATTATGTAACTAATTCAAAAAATAATAATTACAACACAAGACTAACCGATTGATCCTAATAGCGTTGAACAAACAGTCCTTCTATTGAAAATCTCAGAAAACTATTGAATGGGTTATTCCAATTTATAAACAAAAATTGGGAAGAGCTTATAGGCTTTTCTTAACCAATATGCATCCGATTCTGAAAGAATTTTTCTGCATTAAATCGTAGGATCAAATTATTTTTTATAATTGGCCAGCTCCCTGCTGGACAACAGCGAGCAGCCCAGAAGAGTAAAAAGGACACACCTGCTGGGCCTCCCCTTACAACTATTATTTATTTCTACCATATTAATATGTAGAATTATCTATAAGTGAAGTTCATGTGATAACATTTAATGGTTGTCCCTAAAGGACAGTTTTA